CTGCTGCCTTTCATTTTACTTATGATTTGCATTTTTAACCCTTACCCATTTATTTTTTTTTTAAAGAAATTAATAAAGTTAATAAACTAAACTAAAATGAATAATTGACAAATAACCATAAATGTCTAATTATAAACTACATATTTAACATTCGTGCCAGTTTTTTGCTTTTGAACTAAAACAATCAATCATCTCTCTATTAACGATTACAAAATATTATTAGGATTTATTTTTGTAGGGGATGCTGCAGCCCGGGCCGAAACCTTTACAGCACATTTCTAAAATTATTACCTGTGTTTGTTTTTTTTTTTCATGAAGTTGTATTTTGGAAAGTTTTGTTTGTGTCTTGTTTGTGCCTACTCTATGAGGAGAATATGGAAAGCCATTTGTGTTTTTATTCAATTTTCTTGTTACCAAATGTCATGATAATTATTATTATTTTTTGCTTAAATATGAAATAAGTTCTGAATAATAAAAAGATTGTGATATGAATGGTGATGAGTTTTGGTTTGTTCTACTTTTTCTATGGTGACATTTGTAATAAAACTATATGAAATGAAACATTGATAAATTTAAGACTGCATAATCATGCTGTTTTTAATTTATGAAAAATAGGAAGTCAAATCTAACTTCTACACTTTAGTTTCCTCTTCATTTTAATAAACATTTTACTTAATTTAGAAACAAATACGTAAAATGTGCTCCAGTTAATTTAATCCCAGTGAGGAAATCAGATTTTTCTTAGGTTTGTTCTAAGTTAGAAGTAAAAAAAAAACATTTCAATATGTTTCAGTTTATTTATATCTATGCTCACAAATAAAAAAATTGTATGACGCACAAGCATTTAGTAGGCTGTGGGAAACAAACGTACTAAAAAACAAAAACACGATAATACCCTACCACTCAGAATGTAAAGAGATCCATTTTATGCATCGGGTATAACATTTTGACCCAAGTTTTACCTTTTGACAATCTTGTATAAGTGTCCAGTGAAACCAGTCCGACCCAATTGATCCAGTGCACTTGTTTTGTATTCAAACAATGTAAATGCCCCCCAGAAACTCACTTACACAACATTGTGTTCAACCAGTTTTCAGCACATTAACATGCACGGAATGCTCTTGTTTTGTACGTTTAAACACTCTGATGTGAGAGCAAAATCAAGATAATGAGCCGGTTTGTGAGCTTTTTCCATTTAAAAGGTCTGTCTTCTGTGCTGATGTAGAAAACAAAATTCACAGACCAAGAGCTCATTTGTTACAAGGCTATATCTGTTCACCATAACTTGCTGGATCTGAAGACTTCTAATTCTTTTTATCCAACATCAGAGGCAGAAGACGTCCATTGAGCTGTTTCTAGATAAACATTTTCCTCCACAAGAAAGAGTTTGAAAAGTGATGCCAGTTTCTTCAATTGGACGAGATCAATGAACAAAAACAAGTGAGATCAGTATTTTCTTTAAGTTTTCTTTTTTTTTCAGAAGTCATAAACGTAGGATTTTCTTAGATGCTGAGAATTTTATTTTTTGATGGTAGGAATCTCGAGTATAAAACCATGTGTGTTTGAGGAAAACTCAGAATTTTATACCAAAAATGCAATTATAAGTCATTCTAATGACAAAAAAGTCCCAACTACAAGAAACGGAAAGAACCCAATTATTGTTTTGTAACAGTTTTTGCCCAGTGTTTTCAGTAAAGAGTAAGATGAAAATAAACCTCATCATTGTGAGAGAAATGTGCTATGGAGTTCCATTTGTGCCAAAAATGTGTTGTTGGGCTTTAGTCTTAAACCTTGCATTGACACATAACATTGTTTTGTTCTGTCTATACGACTATACAAATGTTCCAAAACCATGTTTACAAGTCGTTCACTTTGTCTTCATGTTATGTTTTTAGACCATGTTGTWGAATATGTTGCCTTTTTAACATGCTGCATTCTTACAGAGATTAGAAGCCTTTATTTACTGCATACTTTAAATTTGGCTTTTACTGGTGTTTTCACTCTCAACTACAATTAGTAAGTCCAATGAAGAACACCAAGTAGCCAACCAGAAGACACTGGCAGGTGTTTGGTTGCAGGAACTCTCACATTTGTGGAAGGAGGCGAGAAGCACAGACTTCAGGTTGCTGCCAGCAGGTATCCAGTGTGTGATTCAGCAGCAGAGGTTCAGTACAAACTGTGAACTATTGATTCATCCTGCACACTATGCTTGAAATACGTTGCAGAAGATCTATGAGTTTAATTAAATCTATTTCGCTGAGGACTTTTAAATTTACACAGAACATTAAAGTCTCTTGATTTGGTAACAAAAACAATTGTTTATTCATGTCAGAACTTTCTGATTCAGCCATTAAAGTTTTACCTGCAGTTTTCTCTGATCTCATGACACCAGTTGCTCAATCCTCCCAGCTGTTCTCTTTCAGAATCATCCTGCCCAGTCAGATCCTCTGAAACTCATGTCCTGTTTTGTTCCTGTTCCAGTCCCAGACTTTTTATACTATGTACCAATTTGTTTTATCTTCCTTCAGCTGGCTCTGATATACCTGTGGGGAGTATCCAGTAAGTAAAACTGAGACTCCCTGCTGGAAAAATGGTGAAACTACAAAGGATTATCTTCTTGATTGCAGCAACCATCTTTGTTTGTGGAGGGGCCGTATGTAGCAAGGTTTGTTTCTCTTGGTACTCATTATGTGTAGTTATTTGTACATGTATGCCAATAATATTGTAAGTATGCAACAGAGCTTAGAGCAGTCACCTCACAGTAAGGTGGTCACAGGTTGGTGGTCTTGTTTTTCTTTTCCAGACCACATTCCTTCTCCTCATCACCTTGTCTCATGAAGGTACAAAGACACTCCTTCCAGAACAGAAACCCCTGGCACTGATGTGTMTTGGCTGCTCTSTCATTGCACCAAGTGTGTTTGTGCTGCTCARAAGCATCTGGAAAACATGCCATAAAACATCAACACTGCCCAGGAAAACAACTGCAGCCCTGGTAAGAGCCAAACTCAGATCTCTTGTTCTTATTTTTGTCTGACTGCTAAAAACAAAACAAGTTTCATTGTTGTTTTTATTGTTTAATTTTCAGGTTTTATTGTTTGAACTTGGTGTTTCTGTGGGTGTAGCTGGTCTCATCATTGCTGTGATGCCACATTTGGACATTGTGACCAACATTACAATCCTGAATACTGTAGCTATCCTCTCTGTGCTTCTACAAATGTTCACTCAGTGCATTGCCAAGAAAAGCAACATCATCTTGGTACCTTCCATCATGGCCTTCATCAAGGTTTTTGCAGGCTGCAGTCTGTTGCTTGTTCTATCCATCATGAAGAACCCTAATGATGTAAACATGGCTGKTTGGTTGGGYCTTGCTKTTAGTGGGTSCATCTTGGTGTCTTTCAAACGGTGGGAGATSCACCTTAAGCTGATCTGTGAGAGCAGCWGCTYTCTCTTCCTCCAGAACTTCTTGAAAGACATGACAAGGAGCCAGAACTTCCTGCACATCATGTCGAGYATCATCAGGATTGTAGTCAYCACCTGTGTGCTTGGAGCCTGTGTCCCTCTGAACAAAACAAACTGGGAKACAGTGAGCTYCATTCAGGACCATGAAAAAAGACTTWTATTGATCATCACTGGCATCCAGSTGATCTCCTCAGCACTCTGTCATCAGTTTGCATCAACAGCCTGCAAGATACAAACTAYTCAACGATGCTTYRTTCCAGTTTTGTAYRTAGCTTCCCTGGCTGTGATGGCTTTGCTCATCGTTCCTGTTATTGTTTTCTACAAAGACATCATAGACACAACWGAGAGCTTCAGCTTAACAAGTTACTGCAATTTACTCATGGATGAAAAAAATCTAAGAGGAAGTGGTAATATGTTCCTGCAGCTGGTTTTGGATGTTACAAAAACTCTGTGCTACTTGGACATGTCCAACATTGGATTAATGACAGGTAATCTATCAATGCTGTAATCAACCTGAAATTATAAAGCTGTAAATCATTTTCATTAATACTGTCATGAATCCCCATCTCACTTCTGTTTTCACTTACTTTCCTCAGGCATGGCAGTGTCCTGGTGGATTGGCATTGGTTTAGCCACCATTTATATCTGGTATTCCAAGAAACATTGCATGCATRTGACTCSAAACCAGTTTATAAAGAGTCTGCATGATGGGGTCTTTATCGAGCAATCTTTGCTYAAGACCCAATTTGACATCCAGACTGAAAACAACACAATTGTGAGTTTGTTTTTCTGTCCTTTTCATTACTTTTTATGTTCAGGACTTCAAATATCAATCTTTGATGTGACTAAACTTTTGTTAATTGTAGGAATGTTTCTCAAAGTTTGTTGTCATTCAAACATTTAAGGAAAATACCACCACTGCTATGGTTTATCTGTGTACAACTATGTGGCACGAGACAGAGGATGAAATGAGGGACAATGTGATCTCAAWGTTCAGGTGAGAGACCGTTTAGATGACAAGCTTCACAACACTCCAGGAGCATTTAAACCTTTTGAACTAATGTTGTAGAAAATACATTTTTAATTGAATATCTGCTCCAATCACATCCTGTATAAATGCATCATCACATTTAGAACTGTACTTCCTCCTTTTTTTTCCTTCTGTGTTTGATTTTTAAGGCTTGACCAGTACAGACCAAAGACGGAGCCAAAGTTTAAGGATTTCACTTTTGAAGCCCATATCTACTTTGATGATGCTTTTGAACATGTTGATGGAATCCAGAGTCGTCAACTCAACAAATGTGCAAAAAACCTTGTGAAAATCATCTCTGAGGTGTATGGGTATGAACCTTGTTCAGATTATCTGAAATAGTTTCTTACCTGCCAGTATACTCGATGCATGTTTTACTGTCTTTATAATCAAGCATTTATCCTGTGTGATCAGCTCCTTCATCAACACTGATGATACTTTCCTTGGAAACAACGAAGTTTGGAAGCTCCTAAAGACACCATATGGAGGTCGTCTCGTCGTCACCTTGCCTCATGGGAATGACTTTGTGGTTCACTTCAAGGACTCAGAGCTCATCCGGAACAAGAAGAGATGGACTCAGGTAGGCAGAATGTCATTAAACTCTTCAATTAAGGAATCTTGTAATCTTGTATAACAATTATGTTGATTTAAAAAAAAATAGGTAATGTACCTTTACTATCTTCTGGATTGGAATCTAATGACCAACAACAACAGAAACCTACAGGAAGGATTTATTGAAAATAACATTGCAGAAGAGATCCAGGTGAGAATTCAAAAACATCTGATTCAGTAATGAATATTAACATGAAAGTTAATTTATTATACAGCATAATTTTTGAGTTGTAACCTAGTAGAGCAAAAGTACACTGTACATTCAAAGCATTTGTACATTCCTTGTCTGTCTTTAAAATAAAACTAAAACCCACATAGTGACAAACCATTTATGTACAGGTAAAACCTGTGCATTTTTTAAAATACCTTTGTTCATTTTGAAGCTGCTGTTAGCCAACCATGAGGGTGTTTGGATTTATACAAGGAAACTACGAAGGACCTACAAAATAATTTCCAAAAAAATTAAGCAGGGGTACACTCGCACTTCAGTGCAAATCATTAGTTCAGCCTTGAGCTTGTCTAACAATTGCTTTAATTTACATGAAATTACAGCTTTATTTCTTTGAATGTAGAACTAAACTAAAGTAACCTGTTTATCCAGAAAATGAAGAAGAACACCTACTTGTTGGCTATGGATGGAGACACGTATTTACAGCCCACTGATCTTAAGATCCTCCTGAAGCATCTTCAGTCTAATCCTCGTGTTGGGACTGTGTCTGGGAGAATTCACCCCATTGGGACAGGTTGGCACAAACAAATGTTTAAACATTATTGTGCTGTCATTTGAACAAATATACTGAGTTTCTTTTTCAGGTCCTGTAGTTTGGTTCCAGAAGTTTGAGTATGCAGTGAACAACTGGTTACAGAAGACAACTGAGYATGCGTTTGGCAGCTTGTTGTGCACTCCTGGCAGCTGCAGTCTGTTCAGAGCAGAGGCGCTGATGGATGACGATGTCTTGGACAAATTTTCAGTCGAATCCACTAAGCCCAACCACTACCTCCAGTATGACCAAGGTAACTAAATTACTGTTTCTTTCTGTTGTTTTGATTACTTGTACAGTTTTTATTCCTTCCTAAATACATTTTCTGTGCTTTTAAAGGTGAGGACCGATGGCTAACTAGCTTGCTTTTAAGACGTGGGTGGACAGTGGAGTACATTGCTGCATCAAACTCTTACAGCACAGTACCACAGACCTTGAAAGAACTGTTTAACCAGGTACAAGCACAAGTTATGCAGAGAGTTCTGTAAAATATAACAAACTGAATTGCTGCTTATATTTAACAGATTGGTTATCAGAATTTACTCCCTAATATGTTTTTGTTTTCCAGCGAAGACGATGGGTGCCGACCACACTGGCAAACACAGTCGACCTGCTGATCTTCAATTACAATATTTCCACAAGGAAGTCACCCATGTCCCGGCTATTCATATTCTAYCAAGTGTTTGCCTTCTTCGTATACGTTTTATCACCTGCCACCACCTCTTTTTGTATAGCAGGTTTGTGTTTTGTTGCATTTGAACTTCTATGTTATTATGTGATTTTAAGGGACTACAATCCAGTTTAAAATAAGCAGATCAGAAAGGCATTGAATAAGGAAGAAATTGGGGATTTCATTAATAAAACGTGAAAGATAAAAGAACCAACTTTGCAGACAGGGAAGTGGTAAAAATGTAGTCCAGTAACCGGCATCAATGTCATGACATTTATTTTATTTTATTTTTTAGACTTTTTTAGAATTTTTAGAATTTAGAATTTTTTAGACATGAAAGAATTCTCTGTCTCTCTGTCTCTCTCTCTNTCTCTCTGTCTCTCTCTCTCTCTGTCTCTCTCTCTCTGTCTCTCTCTCTCTGTCTCTCTCTCTCTCTGTCTCTCTCTCTCTCTGTCTGTCTGTCTGTCTGAGGAAGTAATTTCTGCACTTCTGCTAGCTGGCTGTTTTTCTTCCAAGCAATATTTGCATGCGTAGGGTAGACTGTTAATGCCATTGGTTCTGGGCTGCAAATGTGTCTGTCCTCATCTTTATCAGCACCTTTAGTCGGATTAAAAGTGTACTCAACTCTTGGTGAACTGACATATTTAGCAGCTTCAGCATCATTGGCATAAACTGAGAAGAACTTTTACACTTCTTCTGTTGTGTCCTCCAGTCAGTTTGTCCTTCCTGCTCGACATCCATTTTGCTGTGGCTCTGCTCGTAGTCGTGATACCTTCTGTTATCTACGTGGGACTTTGTTTCAAGCTCAAAGAAGACTATCAGATCACTACGGCAGCAGTTTTCAGCATCTTATATGCAGTTCTCATGTTTGTGTTAATAATGACTCCTTTCGGTACGTTGCTTCAAAAGGTTGTAATGCAAACACATTTAGTCATTCTTTTGTTTCATATTTATGAGTTTAACTCTAAAAATCTGATGTTTTTATCTGTTTACTACCAGGATCAATGGTGAAAGGACAAACCATTCTGACACCAAGCAGCGTTTTTCTTGGCCCTACGTTCATTCATTTCTTTATAACCGCGGTCATGCATCCTCAGGAACTTTCAAAGATGTTGTATGCCTGGTTCTACATCCTCTTTTTGCCAAGTTTCGACACCTTGCTTTTTATCTACACGGTGGTCAACATGAACTGCATCCACTGGGGCACCAGAGAGACTAACTCTGATGATGGAACCCTCAACCCTACAGCCCCACAGCTAACAAAAGCACAGAAATGTAAATCCAACAACCAAAATGTTTATTTATTTATTTATTTATTTATTTATTTATTTATTTATTTATTTACTTATTTATTTATTTGCATTAAGCTTGTTTTCGAGGTGAAACAAATATCAGTGGAAATTCTTGGTTGTGCATTTAGGTGCCAATCCTAATCTCGTAGACACAAATTGTTACCTAATCTAGATCTGACCAACTAATGTTCTCAAAGATTTGTAAAGAGATTCTTTGCATTAATTTGGCTTAAAATAACTTTGCCACCATACCAATTTCTACAGGTTACCACATAAAGTTCTCAGTTTACTCAATACATTTAGTATCTTGAAAAATTAATCTGCTTTACAAAATAGAAGACTGAATTTCATTTAAGTTGATGCTTTGCACATATTCTTTAACTCTTTTGCAGTGTAGTTTGTTAGAGCTTAGAAAATGTTGCAAACTACACTCATCTACTCTCAGACAAAATTTGATTAATTCCAATGCGTCATTGCAATAACATTTTCACTGTTTAAASACTATGATCTGAAGATTTACAATAATTTGAAATGCAAGGTGTTGGCCATACAAAGCATGACATGTAACTAACTTTTAATCTTTCATGAAATTAATCTCCTTGCAGGAAGTCTAAAGAAAAGGGATGTGGTTTTGTAAAATATTCCAAAATGTAAGACTGACTGTTTTTCTGYCATAATTTGTTCTACAGGTTGGACAACAGAACTGCAGAGTTTGTGTGGTGACATACAGCTGCAGGAGGAGTCTATCAGTAAGGTAATCTGTACAGTTTTCATCCAGTTTATTCTATTCTTTCACCCACTTTTCCTTTCCTGGTTGCTGGTGCTTCTATCCAGCAGTCACTGTGTGAGAGACAGGATGGGTCCCAAATCCATCAGTAATGATCTTTGTTTCTGCAGGAAGAAGAACACTACTGGAAAGCATTGCAGGAAAGGCTCCTGAAACCGTTTCAATTTGACAGGGAGACYATTGAAAAGAATCAAAATGACCTGAGAGGGTTTAGAAACAAGGTTGGTGTGAAAATCTTTAGCTGCTTTAAACATAAAAATGTATTTAAAGTGAATCTTTATTTTTTTTCCACTACAGATCAGCTTTTGGTTTTTCTTTGGGAATGCCCTGTGGCTGCTCTTGCTTTTCTTCATCAACATCTTTAAGCTCCTACCCTGCCTGATAAATATTGATGTCAATGTTGAAGAAACCGGAAGGATATTTCGAGTTGAGTTTGTGGGGTTGACATTTTTCCTGGGACCTGCGATGGTGGTTTTGCTCCAGTTTATTGGGATGCTGTATTACAGGTGAGCACTTAAAAAAGACTTGTATCTTGATTGTTTTAATTAAAATAAACTATTTGTGTCTTTTTTGCTCCTGTAGAGTTTATGCAATCTTTAACTATATCACATCTTTGGACACTGAGCCTGAACCACTGACATGGAAGAAAAAACATTCTTAAAGGTATTTTTTAAATTTCTGTTAATATATCTCTGGTACTTAATCAAATCCTGTTAATAATTCTATTGGGCTGTAGCACTGCTGCTGCCACAAACATTATTTCAATAAATATTAGTGGTGCCAATGTTTCTGCTACTAATCTAAATATTAAAAAGCTTTGAGGTAAATTTCAATTAAACTATCTTATTGTTAAAAATCTCCAATCCAGTTAATTTATTAAAATCACAAAGAAGGTTAAATTTATTTATTTATTGTTTGTCATTTCTGCAGGGCATCAGCTGCCAGCTGTATCAGCTTCACTAATCAGCCTGAACTTCAACTCTGCCTCAGCTGTTGGAATCTGGGAAACAGATTATTCTTGTTGAACAGTTTATAATAAAGAGAGAATGGAAATTAATGATCACTCTCTCAAGTCTTTATTTTTGTGAGTCTGCACATAATGCAAATACGTATTTTCAAAATATAATGAATTTGGTGAGTAAAATTTATAAAAATGTTTAAAGGACCAATTATTCCTTCGGTGCTTATTTGGTTTGCAGAAGCTGGCCTTATGTGTGTACTRCTGTAATCTTAAACACAGGTGGCAGTGTGTGCATGCTTCAGTCTGTTTGTTTTAATGGTTCCTATACGTTGTGCAGGAGCTTCTTGKTGTTGTGTGGTTGTGGCTCAAACTGTTATTTTGGACCAGTTCTAAAAGAAGAATCAATATGAAGCAGTATAAATTATTTTTAGTAAAACAGATGATTTAAATAGATTTTGCAAACAAAACTCACTTATCTTTTCTGTTTAATCTGATGTGGAGAACTGCCAGTTGTTTCCTGTGAAAGCACTTTTTCTATTTTTTGTGGTCACCAGGAAATCATCCACCTTCATCTTATCAACATCCAACCCTCTGCATCTTCTCTTCCTTTACGTTCCTGAACCACTTTTGTGGTTTTTGTTTTTCTCCTTCCTGGCGGCTCCATCTTAAAAACATGCCATGCAGAAAAGAAGAACAAAAGTTTCTATTTATGTCATGATACTGACTGCAAGAAAAAGATTTCTGCAGACTGGATGGAGAAAAATGCTAGAGTAATTGTACATTAAAACAGAAGAATCAAAAGAACTACACCAAGTATAAAACATAACTAATGAAAACTTTGTTTTTTCAACAATTTTACTGAAATGAACCTTTTATTGCATCTGACCTGTGTCATAAGCTTCAAGGAAACTGTTAAAAAACCTTTTATTCCATTTAATAGTTTTATTTGGGTTCATATTGTATTCACACTGATATGCTACTTTGTAAATGAATATGTTACAGAAATTTACAACAAATTAGAATTAAAACAGAAGCTCAACACAATAGATTCACATTTAAAACTGTAAAATTCTGTGTTGGAGCTGCAGCAGAACAGAAATGTTTAAAACAGCAGAAAGTTCAACAGAAACCAGCTTTATGTCTAAGAGATGTTTTTCATCTCTGCAGAGCTCCTCCCTCACAGCTGTGTTTTATTAGCTTGTTGCTAAGGATTGATAACGAGTCTCAGTTTATTGTTCATATAGCTTCTGCCCACTTCTCCACTTAGATTACAGCGACACAAATGGCTAAAACATTTAAAAGCATGTTTTATGGAAGCAACACAAATGTTTGTGAAAAGCAGGGAACTTTCTGTACAGTTTCAGTTCTTATGACCTTCAGCTGTTTTAAAGACGGTATCGTGACTATTACTAGGTTTCTTGTAATAGTCTCGCTTCCTCCTGCAGTTTTATTCTTATCTCTTCAGACATGTCKGTTCCAATTTTCCTCTGTGACCTCAAACACAAGCAGCTAAAACAACCTAAAAACGTTTTACAGGAAAATGTGCGTCTTATTCAAGAATCTTTTTTTCCAGTCAGCCTCATCTGAAAAGCACTTTAGRCAAATTAAAAATATAATGTATCTTTTATTTTATTTTGGGGATTATTTTTCTCATGGTTACATAAGATGGTCTGATTCTGATAGTTTAATGTTCAGAAAACACCACATTTCAGAGTGCCCTGTCATTTTGGCRGCACAAAAAACTGCTTTCAAAAACATTTCGCACATATTGTCACATTAAATATGTTTTTCAAACATCCATTGGTGCATAAGAACACATTTACTGCAGTGAACACTCACACTAAAGTAGTTGGTTCACAAATAACATGGTTATCTTGCTTATCTTTGCTAAAGTTAAAGGTAGACATCCAACTAGGAAATTCCGTTTTTTTAACTCTTGAGCTTATTTATGTAGACATAATCCAGACTATACAGTTAAAAACATTTTGTAAATAAAAAAATACAATTTAAAGGATTTAAATTGAGTAATTATGATGGATCGTGGAGCATTTCATTATTTACAATCTTGATATATTAAAGTAAAACTAAACACGTTCAGAGAAATGTCTGCTGATTTGTTAGATGTAATGATTTCCTCACCTTTTATGCACATCAAAAAATACATCAATAAACATGTTTGAGTTCTTTTCATGCCAAAATGTTTCCATTTTTAATTGCACTATATTGCGTCTTTTATACAACATTTTTAATACATTAATTTTTTTAGAAGACAAGTTTTAGGTTCTTGATGATGGCTGGGTTACTGAATCAACKTTAAAAGTGTTTCAATTCCTTTTGTAGCTCTACTTGTTCTGTTTATAATTTTGAAATAYCTCGGAGCTAAAATAGACTTGACTTCTGAGTTTATCGACTATAAAGCGACTCAAACTTCAGTTCTTCCTGACACCACAGCAGAATCRTATTTTGAAGCAGTGGTCTCATCTAAATCGTTTGACTGACTCGTCTGTCCTTCGACATCTTCAGCCAGGGCTCTCCGGTAAATGCCTGTTAGGCTCTGCCTGAACTGCCCCCTCACATTCAGCCCCACGCAGAAGTACAACAGCGGGTTCACGCAGCTGTTAAAGTAGGCTAGAGCAGACGCTAACGGCTGCCAGATCTTCAACACGGCGTTCTTACTGTCCACCATCTTCACAAGCTGCAGGCAGTGGTAAGGAGCCCAGCACAGGAAGAAGGCAATCACTAGTGATGCTAGTATACGCAGGGGGCGGGACTTCCCTACCAGGCGGGTGCGTCTGATGCCCACACCAGTCATAATGTAACACACGAGRATGACAACGAAGGGTAAAACAAAGCCACACAGGAAGCGTATGAGGTAGAGAGCATATTTGGTGCTGTTGTCCCCCTCCTTCGCCTCCTTCACATCCATGGAACACTTGGTCCTGTTGTTCTTCAGGTAAACTTCCCTGTAGAAGAAGAAGGGCATGCTGAAGGCGATCGCTGAKATCCAGATGAGGACTGCCACCACTCTGGCTGCACACAAGGTGCGGCGTTGCTTCGTAAAGATGGGCCTCCAGACACAAAGCATCCGGTCCAGACTGATCACAGCCAGCAGGAAGACGGAGCAGAACATGTTTGCATATTTGAAGAAGCTGTTGAACTTGCAGACGAAGACGCCGAAGGGCCAGTGGTCATAAAAGAGCTTCTTAATSAGGGAGAAGACTCGTGTGATGCAAAAGATCAGGTCCGCTATCGCCAGATTCACCAGCCACACGTTGGTCACTTTCCTCTGTACGGAAAAGAACAAAAAAGATGAAGGGCAAAAGAAAAAATCCATTTTACCAATAGCTTGCAACAAATGCAGCAATGCATCTGCTGTCAAATATTCTTTGTTATATCTTAACTTGCAAATTCAGTTTAACAAACAAATGATCAAATATAAATTAAACTAACAAAAGCATTTGATCACATCTATTAAATGCTAACTTCAGTCAGGATTTTAGTGTCCAAAATTAGTGGCAGAGCCAGACATTTTTCTCATGGGTAGCCAGACGGGGACCACTACTCACACAGGGGTGGCCAGGAAAATTACATMATTTTTACTTGAAAATTTCTGCASATGTTTGTGTTTTGCTCATTTCRTTATGTCSTTATAGAGGCAGTGCCTACCTTTATAAACATGGGTGTCAGAACATTTTAAAAGTGGGGAACACACTGTAGGGGGGTCAAAGGTTCCTCCCCCAGAAAATTTTGAATGAAATTGATGCAATTTCCTGCATTCTGGTGTATTTTACCAGGTTGTTTAACATACTCTTACCTACATAAATAAACACTTGATTCAATAATTATTTCAGAGACAGATTCTTCATTAAACTCGTATCATTATCCTGTTTTTAAACTCACTGCTACAACTTTTTCACTGCTACAATTTATGTGATACAATTTATCATATCTAATGACTTTAGAGGTGCCTTTTACTTTTATATTATTTATTGATTTATTTTTAATTGTAACACATCATTGTGCCAAATAATGATGATCTTCAACTGCATGTATAAAACTAGTATTAATAACTTACCCAATGAACAGGTGCAATATTGATACTCACTAACAGTGCATTTAAAGGGGCATTTCACTTTTTCTGATTTAGTCATAAGTCTACTATTAACCAAAAGGGACAGAGCATCATGTAGCCTTCATARCAGAAAATGACACTGTGTTRTGATGACAAAAAACAAAAACATTTCTCACAATAAGTCAGATTACATAAAGAAAAATATCACATTTTGTCACTTCTTTGAGCCTGGTGATGTTTCAAACTGTTAAACACTGTCTCCAACTGTTCAGGAGGGTTATTACACCCCTAAARGTTGTTTCACTGTGGAAGGGGTGTGTACAGCAGCGTGGCCGATGGGGTCGCCAAAGATTTGTCTGTGGTGGCCACGGCCACCCCCTAGCTCCGCCCCTGTCCAAAATGTCTCCAGGAATGTCCATCACTGGAGACATTTTGGTAAGGATTCCAACTTTGTGACAACACTTTGAGTAAAGCACTTTTCCAACTCGACCGTGCCTCAGTGCATAAAACAAGGACTATAAAGCCATGAATGATGAGCTGACTGGTCCGCACAGACCACTGACCTCAACCTCATTCTCATCCAGGACTGGATCGAAAACTGCAAACCAGATGTTCTCATCCAACATCAGTGACGAATCTCATACGTTTTCTGCTAAATGATTGACCAGAAACCCACAGAAGTCTTACAGAAAACCTTCCATCAAAGTGAAGCTGGTATAGCTGCAAACGCCACACAGTCTCCAAAACAGTAAATATTATTATATTCAAACACTTTAATCTATTTTCACCTTGAGCTTGAATCCAGCCACCCAGATCACCATGGCGTTTCCTGTGAGGCCAAACAGGACGGTAAGAGTGTAGATGACGATGCTGATGTTGTCCATGACGGCCTCAAAGTCCACTTTTGTCGAGTCATCCTTTAAATGTTTGGTTTCTTTTGAAATCAAAGACGAATTTGGAAACATTGTGCAACTGGAAAACATAAAGAAAAAGGGCATTTTAAAAAAATGTCCTTTAAAAAAATGTCTTTATATTCACTGGCTTTTTGTCATTTTTTAATCACTTGRTACCTTAAAAACTGATGCAAAACAAACAGACTATTTCTCATTATCTCTGGGGTTTTCTTTAGAAATGATTAATTTGACTATTTTATCAATCAGTGGTTGCTTTGACTTGCTTTTGTACACAAGACCTCTAAGGGATTACAACTAATATACTTTTGTGTGCAATTAATGATTGTATGTATGGACTGAATATTAGAGAGTAACAACATTTATTTTTAAGAGCAGATACCCTAAGAACCTCCACTCTGTCAACATTTTACACAAGAAATTAAGTTTTCCTTAGTTTGAAACAAACAAAAAACAACACAAAAAGATTTTTTAACAACAACGAAGGCATGTATGAGTCTTTAACTGTTTCAAGCCTTAACATGATGAACAAATTAGAAACAAAGAAAAGACTTTGAGTGAGATGCCAGGTGTCTAAAATATGCCCGTCTGAATCAATAACCCAGTAATAGTCTTATCTTATGATTCAATTTCCTGTTTGACAAAACAATCAGTTTCATCTCAGCGTGGCCAAGTAGCCACCCATATGTGGATTTATTTTTGTTCATGACTAATGTATCACATGATTACATCTTAGTTTATTTATAATATGAACTATGTTGTCAAACAGAAGTGCACAGGAAAACTACTTTATCAAGCCAAACGTGAACAGGAAGTCGAGACTYAATGTAATTAAACTTCTTCAGGAAAAAAAAGAGAATAAAGGTCTGTGCACAAGGCTGGAATCAAACCAACATGTGTTTTCTGACTTAGTGTCACATGAAAAATGAGAACGCATAAAACAACATTTTCTCCCATCCAGCAATGAAGTCCCAGAACAGACAAGAATGGGAAAACAATCCCTCAAAACTTCCATTTCCTTAGACTACAATTTACATTTAAGACTGTCAAATCATTGCTTGATATTTTTATTCATATTATACATAACATTTTTTGGAATTGAAGTTATATTTAATATAATCTGATCTTATTCTGGTTGGATTAATAAAATAGGTAAATATGAAACCAGTAAGAGAGCTGTGGTGGGAATGTAAAAGAGCAGTTCAGACCTGAAACTATGAGGAAAAAAAACACACAAAACACTTTGATTATCCTCACACCTATAATTAACAATTCATTTCATGTCTCAGAAACCACTAAGCTCTAACTCCCACAACAACATAATACTTGTGTCCAAAAATACGACTTCTAATGTTATTGCACAAGCTGTTAAAATTCATGCAAAACTAAGATTTTGCAGTCAGCTGAGTGAACGTTATAAAAGTCTTAAAAATGCTAATTTAGTTTCTATAAATATTTTCTTTTATTAGAGTCATAATAACTCCTATTAAATACAAACCAAGTCTGGAGGTTTGAAATTATTGTACAAACTCGAACAGGTCAGATCATAAAGTAATTGAAATTTTAAGAAATTGTAAYGTTTAACTAATACATTAAATGGTTAACAGTAAACAATACAGTATTTCAAACCAAAAGTGACCTTACCAGTTAAATAAAACACTTCTGAGCTTCAGAAGAATATCATGTAAATGCAGGTGGGTTCTTCAGTTTGCAGAAGCAGCGCTGCTTTACTCAGTGAGGGAMGTCAGACTGAAACTGCAATCACTCTGCAACTTCCTTCAGTCTAAGATAAAAAAACAGCGAGGCCAAAGATGTCAGAATCAGATGTCACATTCTTCCTGACAAACGTCACATAAAAGAAAAATCTCTCAGATCATTTTTTCAAATGATCATTAGCTGGGTAAATATGAAAATAACTGTGTTGTTTGACATGACCGCTCTCAGAGAATCCCCTTTTTGGTGTTAAAATGCTCTTATGTGTCAAATTATATTGTCTTTATTTTTAATAGAAAGCAGCCAAAATTTCAAAGAGAGGTTTTAAATGAGTTTTAGGAAGCCTRAAAAAACCACCAGTGAATGAGTGATCCAGCTCATTAGAAGTCAAATTACATAAAAAATAAAAGCTTGATCAGTACTTTGCATGACAAATTCATAGAAAAAATTGTTCATGTTTGATACAGAACTTGTTTTATTTGTACAGCACAGAACTTGCGTCGATCTGTGATGAGATTACTTTCTCAAAGCTGAAGCTGATGATTTACAAACAAGTCATTAAAACTGATAATTTGCACATGTTTGAGGCAGTAAATGGTAAACGAAGATAAGAGGGTTTTTTTCACCGCGTGTTGTTTTTTGTCTCACAGGAGGGCAATTTTCCTCAGATTTCATCACTGAACAAAATAGGTTGCTTACCCAGTTCAGCTGCAGAAAGATGGTCTTGTGTTAATCTGATAAGGCAGCTGCGAAAACTCAACAGTGGGCATGTGTGCTAGGTTCACGATGTTGCATTACAAATGCCTTTCCTGACTTTGGACAGCCCTCAAATCATTTAAATCTAATTTTGCACAAGATRTTTCACTATTCAAGCAAAAACAATTAATGTTTTTTGGGTTGATCAAATGATTATAAAGCAAAAACTAATATAAAATAACCAAATATGAACCTATAGACTATACACATTATAGATCTTGAACAGGATGTTGCTAAAGGCTAACATCTCTGCGGAGCTACATGGTCTGGCTGAAAACTAAATGACATTTAACACACTGGAAATGTCTACCAAGTCTTCTTTTAGGAGCTCTTTCAGCCACCGTTCACTCAAATTACCACAAAGCTTTTTTTTTCAATCTGATTAAAAAAATACCACAATGCTAACAGAAGCCTTTACATCATCACATTGTCTAATCTGTTTTGTAAAACTGCAGTTTGGCGCTGCAGACCAAGATGGTTAGTATTTCTATAAAATAGATGTTTATTAAAAGAAAAATAACCCAAACCACAAAAACAACTAGATGCTTGAACCTGGCATTTCCCATTTCAGTCACTTAAAAAATAAATTGATCATTTGAGTTGATTTACTCGTGTGTCTCATGTGACTGCTGTAAGACACGAGTAATCAGCCAATTAAAACAGCTGTAACATTAAAATAACTCACGACAATCAACAAATCTAACTGTAAACTTCATGTGAAAACCACTTTGTTTTAAAAGGAAATGGCAGAAATATTGCTGACACAAACACTTTGCCCAGCGCTGCTCTTTAAACAGCTGCTCACCACAAAATTCTGATTCACATCCAAAACAAGTCCACCCAGAAMCATGAGCGCTACCGTCACTTTCAGTTTGAGCTGCAGTCAGAGAAAATAATGGAATCATCAGTACAAACATGATGACAAATACAATAAGTCACATTTTGTGTTCCAGGTGAATAGTTGCAAAAAGAAAATATATTAAAATCATGAGTACTGTAAAGTAAAAAGGTATTCAACTGTCGATCCAAATGTTTCTTTATTCTTTTTACATTTTTAAAAGATTCTGTTAGTTTTGAATCTGATTCTAAGCGCTGGGTTTCTCAAATCTGTACAAAATCTCAGTGCAGTTGAATAAAACCCAAACCTTGGGGCCAGAAACAATAACTTCCCTTAATTATTTGGACAGTGGAGCTACAAAATGAAAAGACGGCCAAGAGTCTCTGAGGACAAAGCAGAACATTTAAACTGAGATCAGAGCATGCAGAGCTGAGGATGAGAAAGAGTCCCGGGTTCAAAGTAACCCTGAGGTTCTTTGTTGGTCTGTATCGTTTTACAGAAACACATCCAACAACTCAGCAGACAGCAGTTTCTGTCTTTGTAAAGGAGAAAAGAGCAAACCTCAACTCAAAATACATTTCCTGCTCAACCTTTGGGCTTTTAATAGAAGAAGACCACACTACGTGTTCTGAAAACCTTTACTAACAAACAGAAACTAAAACTATCAATTAAAAATTATCACTCACTCAACAGTAAGTATTTATTAACATTCATGTAAGTTATGTGAACTAATGTATTTTCTGAAGAATAAGTTATGAGGGTTTGGATGTGCAGTTCCTTGATGTTCATCACTTTAAATGTGGTGAATCCTTCCTCATTTCTGTCACACTCAGCCTTCCTGAGAGCTTCTTCTTTTACTTTATATTACAAACCTAAAAACACCTCAAAGATATTAAATCTAAAACAAACATTGTTAAAAACAATGACGTGTCAGTTTTTTTTAACCACACAATGAGTAATGTGCAAGTTGCATTCTGGTTTTAACCACATGTTGAACAGGATCACAAATGGGAAATGTGGTTTTAAACCAACATGCAGTTTCTTTTTGACAACTATAAGTGTTGTTACTGTAAAACTGCATCATTTTATTGTGACAATAAATGTTTCCCAATGATTTGAAGTGATTTGAAGTACTGAAAAATTAACATTTTAAAAACAGAATGCAAACAGTATAGAGGTTTTGTCTCAGTTAAACAACAAAACAATTTCCACCTTGTTTTACTCTTAGAAATATTTTTGTTGCCTGAATTAAAAACAAAACCTTTTTAAACACAAAGAACCACTTCCATAAAATCTCCACAGTTAAACTCAAACCTCTTAGTGGACCTGATAAAAAYCTGTTAGATCAAAACATCAGGTTCACAGCAGCTTTTCCAGATAAAATACATCAAATTACTTTCAAATGTTAAAAAGAAAAACTGGTCCAGGATTCTGTTTTTCTTACCTGCAGGACTGGATTTTCTCTTCAGGCTGAAATAAAGAAACAGAAATGAAACTTCTGTTCAGGTTCCAGTGTGACTATTGCTGTTTCTTTAACTGGTTTTATTGCAACTCTAGCAGAGTCATGTGTGTTTGTATTGTCTCTCTATTGCTCACACATTTACCCACACACACACTTCTCTCTCTTATGTCATTTTTTTGTTGGTTTCCTTCCCTTCTGACCACCAGCTTCTCTCTTTTTCTTTCACCGTCTCGTTCAGAGTGAGCCATTATTTTGAAAATCAAGCTTTCTGCTTTGTACAAATCATCCAAGTAGTGATGTTTTCCCAAAGTGGGGTGTGTGCAATTTTTTTTTTGCCAATTTCCATAAAATGTACCTCTTTAAAAAAACATAAATTAAACTCCTCAAACAGATTATATGTTTATCAAATTAATTTGTTTTATTTGACTTTTTAAATTCCTGCCAACTCTTTGGCCTCATTAAGTCTGTGAACATTCAAATTAGATTTCTGTCACAAACTGGAAGGTGATAAAAATTACTTTTAATCAGTGACAGTAATTTATCAAGTGTTAAACAGGATCCTCTTTGGCTTTTATCAGTCTGACAGACAGTGAAAACAGAAATTAAAACTGAAGAGTGGCTGATCTTCTGATGCAACATTCTTTATGCAACAAAACAAACCACATTTCAGAGAGAAGAAGAAGAAATGTTAAAGAAGCTTCAGCCTGTGATCAGGAAGTCAAATCCTTAGGGGCACATAAAATGTTTGGAAAAGATGATGCACCCACATCTGCCTCTTTTATAAATTCTTAACCCTTCATTAACAGCTCAAACAAACCAGGTCAGACCTCCTGTAATTCACCTGTTTGGTCTCACAGAGGCAGCAAAGTTCTGAAGTAATTCTTATTTTTTTTCATGAACAAAAAATCCTAAAACATTCCCACAAGTCTTCAGAATGAAATAACATCAATAACTGCTTCTCTGTTCTTATTGTTACTTTTTATTAACTGTTTTTGGGGAAACTGTGCGATAACTTCCTTATTTTGCTGCAGCCTCTGAGCTGTGGGGTCACAGTAAAACATCATAAATTCTGGATTTCGCAACAGGTCACAACAGAAACAGCATCAAGGAGGAAGTCTTACAAGTTTCTGTTTTTCTTCTTTGAACACAGACAGTTTTAGGCTTGTACATTTTGTCCACATTTGACAAACRAATCATTATGTTTTACATTTTATTGTTGAAAAAAGTATGTAAATTTATGAAAGCATATTTAATATCTTTAAATCTTGTGCTTTTTATCATTCATTTAACTTGAGTTTAGTTTTAAATTTCATTTTTAATAGCTTTTGTTGTTTTATGGTTTTATTTTGCAACATATTTAMATCACATTTAGCAATAAAGCTTGTTAGCGTTGTTTTATATCTAAAGGCACTATTAAAGCCATGTCATGCAGGCAGTGGACTTTATTCACAGATTATTTAGAGGTTTATCTTGTATCTTAATTTATCTTCATTTTATCTGAAGCTTTGTTTTTTTGTGTGTCTGCTGCCCTCTGGAGACATGAAGGGTAATAATTTCACAGTGAGCACAAAGGTTTTTGTTGTTTTCAAATAACAGTTTATATGGATGAAGAGAAATAGTTAAATGTTGACCATCTTACAGAAGGGGGCAGCACTGATTAGCATTTCAGACATTGATTATGCTGAGTTTGTCTCACAGAGTACCAACTTCAGCTGTGAGAGGTGAGATCTACATGTGTTCTTATTTGTGACAACCACATGACACAACGTGACATTGTTCCATCACACACACACACACACACACACACACACACAC